GGCTTGCTGTGTTTTGCTTCGTTTTTGTGCAGTAGTGGTGGTGGTGGTTTTTGTCCCGTGATTCGTCCTTGATTCGTTGTTCATGGCCGCTGCGGGAAGTTTATGAACTGGTTGGCTATGCATTTGCGGTTCTGTGAACTTGCAGCCTCTTAGTTGTGTTCGAGTTTGCAGAAGTTGCTGTGTAGTTGGTAGACACTTGTGTTCCAGTTGCACAAGTTATTCGTTCTTAGTTGGATATATGTTTGAACTAGTTGGTATTCATTTCTAGTCCGGTTGCACAAGTTGATGTACCCACTTGGCTGATTTTGAAGTTGTCGTACAGATATTGTTAGATGTGCGTAATGCTGTGCGCAATGTATTGGCTGATTTGAAGTTGTTGTACAGAGATTTAGGTAGAGAGGATTTTCTATTAGTTGCACAAAATTCTATTCAGTTGGCTTCATTCATATAGTATGCCTATCCCTATGTTCTGCAGTTGCATCTATTTGTGCTAGTTGGGTGTCTACACACTGTTCAGTTACACGAGTTGCCTGCTTAGTTGGCTGCATCACTTTTACTAGTTGGCTGTCCATATGTTCTACACTTGCATTAGTTGTCCCGCTTAGTTGGTTTGCTGTTTTGCACTAGGTTGACCGTCTATATGTTGTTCATTTGCACAATTAGTTGGCTGCATCCATATACTAGTTGGCTGTATATAAGATGTTTTTGAGTCGCATAAGTTGCTCTGCTTTCGTGTTCGAGTTGCTAATATGGTCTACCCAATCTGTCAGTCTTGTTGTGTATGTGGTTATTCATGTGTGTTTCCCATGCTGTGTGCAACCAGGGACCATTATTTGTGCAAATTAGTTACAATGTCTGCCAATTTTCCAATATTGTATATTCTTGTTGCACAAGTTCTGTTTTGTTCCAGTTGCACAAGTTATTACAATGAGATTGTTGCCTTTAGTTAACTATTTTTTGCCTAGTGATTACTTTGCCACAGTTAAACTTTAGTTGGTTTATATGATTTCTCCTAGTCCTTCTTCAAGTTTAATGCTGAGTTCATGTTGTTGTTTGTTAGATGTGCGCATGCTGTGTGCAATGCAATGGCTGATTGAACTTGTTGTATATGTTT